TTTTTTTGTGGAACCGGGGACTGAACTCAGGCCCTTGCACTTGCCAGGGAAGCGCTTATTCCACTGAGCCATCTCCCCAGCCCTAAGATTGGTCTCTTGATAGTAGCAAAAAAGATGGCAAGGCACGAACACAACTTGTATATCAAGTAAGAACTGCTAGCAGATATTAAAAAGGTAATAAAGACACCAACAAACCAGACTCAGCAAGGCAGGAGCAAGTCAAGGAAGAAGAAATGATCCCATTTCATCATGATAAAAATATTGCAAAACACATCTCTAAAAATATTAAGTACATTATATTCATTAAGTTCCATTTAAGATAGCAGATAGTCAAAGAGTGTATTTAAGAAATGTGTAAGTCCATATGTAAGCTTTTTAATACAGGGAAATAAACTTAGTTTTCATAAAAATGTATTTTTCCCTGATCATTCAAAACACACATCTTGCACATACATATAACTAAACATTACCTAAATTCTAGGCCACACAAGTTAGTAAAACTAAAAATACAAGCAGGTGCAAACCTTGATTGCTCCCAGTGTTCCTTGATAGATTCTGTCTTCAATGTCCAAAAGGAAATCTCTCAGTCTCAGTTCAAGCTGCCTTTCTGCTGACATCTGAGATGGGTCATATGCACTGGGGTTTCTTCCCCGAGTACATATAGGTTTGCTATCAGTTTGAGGTTTATCTGAAATTATAGTTGAGTAACTTTATTATAATTAATTAAAATACAATCAGTCCATGTTGTTATAATTTTGAGATAATGGATATAAAAGCATTTTGTAAATTCAAGTACCAAAAATAATAAATATTTGCAAATCATATATTAGATAAGAGCTCTGGATGCAGAAGAACTATTATAATTCCATGAAAAGACAAGCCAATTAAAAAGTAGGTAAAGGATCTGCATAGACATTTAAGGAAGAACATATAAATAGCCAATAAGCAATGAAAAGATATTTACCATCATTAGCCATTACAGAAAGACAACGAGGGACCACTTCACACCCTGTAGGATGGCTATAATCAAAAAGTCAGAGGCCAGTGAGATAGCTCAGTGGAATTAGTGCCTGCTTAGGCAAGCCCATGGGATGTGCTGGCCCTGCCCCGAGGCACACTGAGCTGGCCCCTGACACCGGGCATGGTGGCACACTCCTGTAATTCCAGTGCTGGGGAGGCTGAAAACAGTACCATCACTACGAGTCTGAGATGCGTAGTGACACTTTGTACCAAATACATTTAAAAAAACAAAACAAAAAGTCTGAAAATTTTAAGTGTTGAGAAAGAAATGGAGACATCGTAACCCTCACATACTATGGATGAGAAAGTAAAATAATGTAGCCACTGTGGGAAACAACCTAACAGTTTCTCAAAAGACTAAACAGTGTCACATGACCCAGTAATTCCATTCCTAGGTATATACTAGGTAAAACAAATGAAAAGCTATGCCAACATAAAAACTTTTATGTGAATATTGTAGCAGCATTTATCAAAGTAGCCAAAAGATAAAAACAAATCAAATGTCTCTCAACTAATGAATGAGTATATACAAGGGAATATTAGTTGGCCATAAAAAGAATGAAGTTCTGATACATGCTACACCTTTGTCAAACCTTGGAAACATTATGCTAAGTGGAAGATGTCAATCACAAAAAGGCCATATGCAGTGTTATATTCACAGCAACTGTCAAGGACAAGAGGTGTTACAGAGTCAAAGACCCGTATTTCCTATAGAAATATAGAGGAGTGATAGCTAAAGGGTTCAAGTTTCATTTTGAGCTAAATAAATAAATGTTCTAAAATTGACTGAAAGTTGCACATATTTGTGAACATATTAAAAGCCACTGAGTGGTATAATTATTTTCAATAGATGAGTTACATTATGGGTTATGTTAAATAATGTACAGTGTGTAGAGTATTGTGATCTAGCTTGGTATGGCAGCACGTGCCTGTAATCTCAGCACTCTGGGAGGCTGAGGTGGAAGGATCATAAATTCAAGCTCAGGCTGGACAAGAAATTTAGCAAGAGTATGTTTCAAAATAAGAAACAGGAGCCAGGCATGGTTGCACATGCCTGTGATCACAGCACTGAGGTGAGGCAAGAAGAGCATCCAAGTTCAAAGCCAGCCTGGGCTACACAGTGAGTTCAAGCCCAGCCTAAACCACACAGCAAGACCCTATCTCAAACAAAACAAAACAAAAAAGAAAAGGGCAGGGCTGAAGATGTAACCTCTAGCACTGGGAAAAAAAGTAATCTCTACATTTTAATTCTGAGAAGATCTTATGTAGTCATGGTAATGTGTCCCTAAATGTAAGTAGTTATCTATCCAGAAAATCTCATTTCCTAATATGAAACCTTAGATCTAAAAATGTTTCTGCTTTATCTGTAATCGATGGGCCACCCATAAAGCAGGAAATGCTGATACCTGATCTGTATACCTGATCTGATATCTGATTGGCCTGTGCAGCCAATCTTCAGAGACCCTCAGTGAACTCTCCCACTGGCCTCTCTCTCTCACTTTACTCATTACAACTTCTCCAGAACTGATGGCAACCCTAGGGCAGTGGGGATTTCATTCACTAAGCAGGAACTGAGGAGCTCAGGAAGAACATCCATCTCATCACACCAAACAGGGTTCTGCATAATTCAAATAAATCTAATGGAATTTAGAGAACCTTTGTTCTTTCTTTCACATCATGTAGCCTAGGTTAGCTTCTATTTCCTGTGTTCAAGTGATCCTCCTGTCTCAGCCTCTTGAATAGCAGGGGCTACAGTATGTGCTCTTGAACCTGGCTCAAGAGCTTTGTTTTTAGGAAGAATTATAAACTGGCTCACAAACTGAAAGCATGATCAAAAGGAAAGAAAGTATTTGAAATATATTTCTAATAGCATGAAAAATGTTTAATCCTGAACATCCAGAGTATAGAAAGGAGGAAAAAACCCGTTTTCACTCAACATTTACCTTTTAAAAAAAGGGGAAAATTTACCTGAAAAATGAAATTTTTCTTGAGAAAAATGGGCTAGCTGTGCACATATTCTGCTTTTCTCTTGCAGCAAGGTTTCTTTTAAGGCACTTTCTCTGTATCCTCTAGAATTAAGAGCTTCGATAAGCTGGTCTAGCTGTTCACAAGAACTGTAAAAGCACCACCGATTTGGCTTACGCACTGGCTTTGGCAGCTGTGCAGAACTGTCACAGGGACCTTGGTCCTCGTTGGAGGTAGATTCCGACATCAATGACACTCCAGTTTTAGTAGATACCTGAGGATCTTGAGACTGTACATTATTCTGAAATGATGAATGTCTAGGCAACAGCATGTCTTCAGTGAGACCAGAATAATCCTCTTCAATAAACAATCCAGGAATAGAAGGGAAAATCCAGTAACGCCTATACATGCGGTCACGGCCCAAGGGAAAGATATTGGTACACGCTATGGCACTTTGGATCTTTTCTAAGAGCTCCTTTTCTCTTCGTTGCTGTTCCTGCTTGAAAGCTTCTTCCTCATCAGCAGTAAGAGGCTCTTGCATTACACAGTTGATCTCTACTTCCCTTGTCAATTCTTTAAATGCATTTTGTCCTCTTTTGCCTGCAGATAAACATTTATCATATTTTAAATTTTCATTAGAGAAAAAAAGATATACAACTACCTCATATTATAGATTTAACTGTGATCCCTCTACTCCAAATTCATATATTTAAGCCATAATTTCCCATGTAACTACAAATTCACCACACTTGGCCTTAATAATTTTTAGCTGGTAAGTTACACAAAAAAGGGGCTAGGTGTTGTGTCACATGCCTGTGATTCCACCACTATGGAGGCTAAGGCAGGAAACTGCCATGAGTTCAAGGCCAGCCTGGGCTACATAGTGAGTTCTAGGGTAGTGAGATACCTCTGGGTTGTTGCTTCCCTTTCTTTCCAACTAGCTAGAATGGGAACATGGTGATAAGTCATTTTGGGAAACAAGGATGGAAGCAAAAGCCACAGTATGGCAATACCAGCAAGATGAAAAGACCTGGGATCCCTGATTATGTGTCTGGACTTTTATGATACATAGGACAATGAGACATCTTTGTTGCTTCAATCACTGTCAAATTGGTTAATGGTTAGACAGTGTTTCTTTTGTCTTTTGCTTGAGTTAGTGAAAACTGAATTATCTGCTTCTTTAAAACTTAGCAGATGAGTTCAAAGCCAGGTTGGGCTATATAGTGAGACCCAGTCTCAAGGAAGGAAAGAAGGAAAAAGAAAGAAAGAAAGAAAACCTTAGCACAATTCATCTCTAATGCTGTTTACAAGTGAAATTTCCTCCTGTTCTCTCTCTCTCTCTCTCTCTCTCTCTCTCTCTCTCTCTCTCTCTCTCTCTCTCATTGGAGACTGAACTCAGGACCTTGCTCTTGCCAGGCAGGTGCTTATGTGCTGAGCTATCTCCCTGACCCTGATGTTTTCTCTGGGGAGGATGTTTAGTACTCATTCAAAAATTCTAAACTTCAATGGTTTTATACCATTCATATGTTAAAATTTTTCCTTAACCCGTTTTGATAAATTGTACTTTCCTTAATTTTGTTCATCTTTGCTTACATTTTTAAGCTCACTGCCAGAAAGCTGTTACAGTTTAATGTTATATGTTGCCCTTTTTTTTTTTTTTTTGTGGTGCTTGGAATTGAAGCAGGGTCTTCTGCATGCTAGGTAAGGCCTCTGCCACTTGTGATATAGTCTGTCTACCTCAGTTAGGTTTCTAATCTATATGCTGGTCCATTTTCTTTTCTTTTTCTTAAAATTTTATTTATTTATTTATTTATGTGTGTGTGTGTGTGAGTGTGTGTGTGGCCAGCTCAGCCCACCAGGGGGCGCGGCTGGCTGGCATGTGGTGCTGGGGGATTGAACCGCGGTCCCTGTGCTTTGCTAAGCTTGTTCTAAGTAGGTGCTTTAGACCACTGAGCCATCTCACCAGCCCCCAATGCTGGTCCATTTTCTGTCCTCATTTCATGTATTATGATCCTCTCTTTTGTCTTTTTGAGACAGGGTCTCACTATGCAGCTCAGGCTGGCCTTGAGCTCACTTTGTAGCCCAGGCTGGTCTTGAACTCACAACAATCCCCCTGCCTCAGCCTCCCAAGTGCTGGAATTACAGGTGTGTGCCACCACCTCTGGCTCTCCTTTTTTTTATTGGCTGGCTCAGGCTGCCTGAAGGGCAGGTCTGGTGTGGCATGTGGTGCTGGAGATCCAACCGCAGTCTCCTGTGCTTGACTGAGTTTGCCCAAGCAGGCACTTTAGACAACTGAGCTAACCCGCAAGCACCCACCCCCCCATTTTTAAAATCAATTTGAACAAGTATTTGTCTAGTTTGTGCATGTTTTCTAAAGAATAACTTCTGGTTTTGTTGTTCTCTTTTTATGCTTGTATCTTGTGCTAATTCCTACTCTATTACTTCTTTCAAGTCAGGCAGTTTATTCTATTTTTTTTTCCCTCCCTATCTTAAATGAATATAAGGGGCCGGGGAGATGGCTCAGTAGAATAATAAGTGCTTGTCTGGCAAGCGCAAGGGCCTGAGTTGAATCCCCAGTTCCACTAAAAATAAAATAAGTGAATATAGGCTCAGTATGTTTCTCTCCTAATATATACTACAAGCTATGATTTTTTCTCTAAGCACAGCGACAGGACTCAAAGCATTAGTATGAAGTAGTGATTAGTTTAAAATCTTTTCTAGATTCCATTAAGGCTTTTCCTCTGATTCATTGCTTAGAATTAGGTTTCAAAATTCTGATCAAGTAACGTTTGTTTCAGATTTTGAAACTGACTTCACTGTAATCAGAGAATATTGCCTCCATGATATCTGCAATTTTCTACTCACAGAGGATCCCATTCAAATTACAGGTACAGAATTCACTTAAGGACTGCTTTTGTTATAAAATGGGGATGGTAAAGAGCCTCAGAAGTAATAGGTATCAACAGCTTTAAAAAGTACATTCCCGGGGCCGGGGAGATGGCTCAGTAGGATAAGTGATTGACTGGCAAACGCAGGGATCTGAGTTCAACCCCCGGTTCTGCCAAAAAAAAAAGTATTAAAAAAAAAAAAAAGTATAAAAAAAAAAGTACATTCCCTTGGTCTAGCAATTTATGAAATTGTTTTAAGGTAGTAGCGATTTCCATTCTAAGCAATGTAACACCAATATGAACATTATTGATCTTTGCATCACTGACATGCAGAAGGCATTCGGTAATGTTGAATTAATTACATTATAGAATTATATTTTGGTTTGGTTTTATGCAAAAACTCAGCTGAGCATGGTTTTAATTTTAGGAGGCCAAGGCAAGAGAACTGCAAATTTGAGACCAGTCTGCATAACTTAAATAAACAGAGTTAGGATGCAGCTTAGTACAAAGGCTCTGGGTTCAGTCCTTAGTACCTCAATTAAAACAAAACAAAACAAAACCCCCTCAACAAAACTTACCAAGTAAAGGTTAAGAAACTAAAGTTATGAGAAACTGATCCATTAAAGAAATATAAGTATTTCTCTCTACAGAATATATGACATGTGAGTCAAGATTTAATCATAAATTACTAATAACTTCGTGACACCTTAAACAAAATGTCTCCATTTTCACAATGCATCATGAATTATGAAGTGGCATTTTAAAATTTATATCCTGGAACCACAAAAAAAAGTAATCTAATATATATTTCAGAATATTTAATTAATAAAGTACCTTATCAATTAAAATAAACACATAATCATGCTCTTAAGAAATCTCATTATTACCTCTTCTGCTTTTCTTCTGTGATCCTACGTCATCTTCGTCTTCGGTGACCATATCTTGATCAAGTTCCTTTCTTTCTATTTCTTTGCTCTCAGTGCTAGTATCAAATTCTTCCCTTTCTTCCTCACTTTTAGATACAAAGATGACATTTATTAGTGCATATATAACTCTATTCATCAAATAACTACTGTTTGTCTACAAAGTAGCAGGCATACTCAGAGAGTAGTGAACAATAGGATACAAATTTACAGTTTTGAAAAGAAAAATTATAGATAATTTCCTAAGCCATTGTAAAGGTACATTTATGTAACAAGCAGCACTGAAATACAAGTTCAAGGTGCTGGGAAGCATTTCAAGGAGAACCAAAACTAGTGTCCAAGATCAAAAAAAAAGGATGGCTTAAAGAAGAGATATTCAAAGGGCCAGTGAGACAGCTCAGTGGACTAAGCACCTGCTTAGGCAAGCACAGGGACCAGGGTGTGATCCTTGGCACCATCCGCCGCGCCGGCCCCACTGCCAGGTGTGCTGAGCCACAACCAAGTCCAGGGCGTGGTGGCGCAGGCCTGTGATCTCAGTGAGGGGAGGCTGAAAACAGGAGGATCACTAGGAGTCTGAGCTGTATAGTGAGACCCTATATCAAACAGATTAATAAAAAGAGAGAGAGAGAGAGAGAGAGAGAGAGAGAGAGACATTTAAAGTGCAAGCCAAGGTAGACAGGTAAATAGCAGACAGCAGCAAACAGAAAACTAGTCTGTCCTGCAGAGGAAGAACATATGCAGAAGAATGGCTCTGAATGGAAAAGGAAGGAGCTTACAGTTAAGACAAATGAAAAAGCAATAATCCAAAATAAGAACAGCATTAGATCATGTTTGGCCTTCGAGTGTTATCGAAAAATTAATGGGAAAAAACTTTTAAGATTTAGAAAAGAAAATAATAGATTAGAAAGCACTTTGGGTACCCTGGTGAAAGTTATCTGGGTTAGAAAGTAGATGCAGGAAAGCTAGGCATGGTGATCTGTGCCTGTAAGCCCCGCACTTGGGAGACAGAGGCAGGAGATTCACAAATATTGGGGGAAATAATTGATCTATTTGATATAATTTATATTCCATAAAAACCACCACTGAAAGGTGCACAATTTAGTGGGTTTTTTAGTACATTCAGAAGATTATAAATCATTACCAGTGTGTAATGTCAGAACATTTTCATCATTCCAAAAGAAAACCCCATACCCATTTTTGTGTCACTTCACATTTTCTCTTCCATACTGCTCTTGGTAACCACTCATTTATTCTTCTTTCTTTTTTCCTACCAGTACTGGGGATTGAATCCAGGGACTCTTCACTGACCTACATTTCCAATCCATTTTTAATTTTGAGAAAAGGTTTTGCTCAGTCAATAAATGGGACAGGATGGGCTGGAATTACAATCCCCTTGCCTCAGTCTCCTGGCTACCCACACCTTTTTTTTTCCTTCTTCTTTTTTCATTTGTGTATTTGGTACAGAGTCTCACTATGCAGATTGGACTCGTGATCCTCCTGTTTTCAGTCTCCCTAGCACTGGGATTATAGGCGGGCGCCACCATGCCTGGACTCTACCATTATCTTTCTAATTATTTTTTAAATGTATTTGATATAGGGTCTCACAATGCAGCTCAGACTCCTAGTGATCCTCATGTTTTTAACCTCCCCAGTGCTGTGAATACATGCATGTGCCACCATGCCATGGATTTGGTAGCTGGCCCAGTATGCCCAGCAGCGAGGCCGGCGTAGCTGATGGTGCTGGGGATTAAACCCCAATCCCTACACTTGCCTAAGCAGGCACTTAGTCTGCTGAGCTCTCTTGCTGGCCTCGCATATCTTTTTATAAAGCTAAATATACTTTCTTCTGTGGATGTACCACAGAAGAGATACATAATTTTGTGTTCCCATGGACCAGGTAGTGGACATTTGGTTTGCTACCACTTTTTGCTTCTAAGAGTAATGCTATCATGGACATTTGGGTACACATTCTGGGTGACTATATGCTTTTAATTCTCTTGAGTACATAACCCCCATTGCTGCCCCATATGTAACAAACAGGGTCACATGATTTAACCTGAGGAACTGCCAAACTGTTTTCTAAAACAGCTGCACCATTTTACAATCCCCACAAGGATGTATGAGAATTCTAATTTTACCACACAACACTTCATACCCAACAATCTGATTATTGCCATCTGTGTAGGGGTCAAGTGGTACTGTGTTAATGTGCGTTTCCCTGACAGCTAATGTTGAGCAGCTTTTCACACAATTACTGTTCTGTGGAGAAACACTGGTTCAAATCCTGTGCCACATGTATGTATGTATGTATGTATGTATACATGCATGCATGCATGTATATGTGTATTTGGTACAGGATTTATGGGGTCTCACTACAGATTGGACTTGTAGTGATCCTCCTGTTTTCAACCTCCCAAGTGCTGGGATTACAGGCACGTTCCACCACGCCCAGTCTCAATTACCAGCTCAGCATGCCCCAGGGGCAGGGTCAGACCAGCATGCCAGGGGTCAAACCCTGGTCCCTGTGCCTGCCTAAGCAGGTGCTTTTGTCCACTGACCTACCTGGCCAGCCCTGCTATGCCATTTTTAAACTGGATTGTCTTCTTTATTGTTGTACCATAAGAACTATCTACATACATTCTTTATATATTCTGTACAAAGTTCCTTACCAAAAGTATAATTTGCAGCTATTTCTCCCTTTTACTGTGCTGTCCTTTTACTTTCTTGATAGTGTCCTCTGAAGCATAGAAGTTAATTTTGATGTGTCCAATTGTCCCTATGTAGGTGGTTGCTACATACTAAAGTGCTGCTGGTTTTTCCCTATGCCTTTTACTAAGCTTCTAATCTTATTCCTCCTCTGTAAAGCACAGAGGAACTCTGCAGTACAGTGTACATATATGCTTGTAATGGGGGGGGGGTGGAGCAGGAGGAAAATAAACTAGTACTTATACAAGCAGTATTTTTGCCTAAAACCCTTTTGAAAGTTGGACACGGTGGCATAAGCCTATAATCTCAGCACTTAGGAAGCTGAGGCAGGAGGACTGCTGGAGGTCAAGGACAGCCTGGGCTATACAGTGAGTTTAAGACCAGCTTGAATTGCATAGTGAGGCCCTGTCTCAAAAACAGAAATGGGCCAGCGAGATAGCTCAGCAGACCAAAGCACCTGCTTAGGCAAGGTTAGGCAAGTGCAGGGACCACGGTTTGATTCCCGGCACCACACGCCACCCCAGTCAGAATCTGGGCATAGAGGCACATGCCTGTAATCCCAGTGCTGGGGAGGCTGAAAGCAGAAATATCACTATGCGTCCAAGCTGTGTAGTAAGACCCTGCAACAACCAAATATACTAAAAACCAAACCAGAAAATAAAACAAGAAAACCTATTGAAAGCTTTCTGGGAAATTAACATTGTAATATTATTTCTATGAAACGTAAGTTCTAGAGTCCCTAAAATTAGCCTAAAACAAAATTAACATAACACAGATATTTGATGGCTATCTATAAATATATTTCATATACTTGCTAATTATTCTGTATTTATAGAAAACTACTTTTCTAAAAATTTCAAAGGCATTTTTCTCAAAATTTAAAAGCATTATAAATTTCAAAGTATCTGATTTTTATTTATGTATGTTACAATTAAAGCCAGATGAACAGTGTAATTCAAATCATACCCTATAGATATATCAGCAGTTAAATTTCTTTGTTCATCCTCCTTTAATTTTTCTTGTTTTTCTTTCATCTTTTGTTCTTGTTCTTTAAGTTTTTCTTCCTTCCTTTTACGAATTCTGAAAGTCAAAATAAAATATTATACTCTCACTAATGCAAAGACACTAAACATTAGCAACTTGCCATTAATTATCAAATTATGGCAACTGATCCAAATATTGCTACAGTACTAACATACAGTAGTCCATTCATAACTTCTTTATAAAGTCAATTATACCACAATGTGAAATATGTTTTTTAGATGTGAAGAAATCAACAGTTTTCAATAGCATGACTGACTAATAGGTCTCACCTCGCAGCTGCTTCTTCCCTCTCTTTTCGATGTTGTTCTGCTTTTAACTCCCGGAATTCCTGCTTCGCCTGTCGCAATATGTCAACATAATCTTCAATGAAATCTCTAGTAGAAACTAGGGTCAGCAGCTTCCCACAGAGAGCATGAAGTATCTTCATTTTTTCTCCTGTCAAAAATCAGTAAACAACTTCTGTATTACCAGTGGGGGAAAAAAAAGGAATTGTGCTGGAAATTTAAAAACTTGTGGCTCAATGTGAAAATTCCTAATAGAGAATGGAGCGGATGGTTTCTTAGCCACTTCAAGGGCATCTTTTCAAAGCACCTGTGAATCCAATTTAATAGCTACATGCTAGAAAAGGCATTTCACATATTAATACTTTCTAACTGAAGAATTATTTTTTAAGTTTTAAATTTATTGAGGAAGTTCATGTCATAATCACATGAATTTAAAACACTTCCCTAAAGTCTATTATAAAGGATGGGAATTAGAATACTCCACATTTACTATATGTTCATTGAAATTCATTGTTATGTCTGAAAATTAAACTTCATTTTATAATTATTTTTTGCGGTGCTGGGGACTGAACCTAGGGGCAGGGAAACTGCTGTACCAATGAGACACATCAACAATGCTAAAATCTCTCATTTAAAAAGCAGGTAAAAAATAATTTCACCTTAACCTCATTCATATCCCATTTCCCATACCTCATACCTATTCAAGTAAGTGGCAGAATTTGGCAGGTATAGTTCCTTTTTGTTCTTGTTATGCTTTGCTTTGAGACAGGGTCTCGCTATGTAGTTCAGGCTGGGCTTGAACTTGCTTCTGTAGCCCAGACTGGCTCCTGAGTGCTGGCATTAGGAGTGTGCACCACCACCCCTGGCTAGCAGCTATAGTTGAAGATTCTGGTACACTCTTTCTTTTTTTGATGTGTTTGGTACAGGGTCTACGGAGTCTACAGGATCTCACTACGTAGACTGTACTCATAGTGATTCTCCTGTTTTCAGCCTCCCAAGCACTGGGATTACAAGCGTATGCCACCACGCCCAGTCTCAATCAACATCTCAGCATGCCACGGGGGAATCCCGGTCCCTGTGCTCTGCCTAAGCAGGTGCTTTAGTCCACTGAGCTATCTGGCCAACCCTAGTCTGGTATACTCTTGAATGAAAGAGAAAGCTAACTTTCACTTACCCCTTTAAGTAGGCAATGTTTTATAAGGAAATATGAGAAAACCCAAACTAAAAAAAAATTAAAGCTAGTAAGAATAGCAACAAAAGCTTTAATTTAGGTCATTCTCTTCCGATAATTCTTTCTTGACAGCTTTTTCTCTGTCTTAAAACTGATTTATCATCAAGCATTTCTCATTAGCTACTAAGGCTTTCTGGGTGTAAGAGTGCACAAAGTAGGCAGGTTATATATGTTTCAAATGCAACGTTTACCTGGCGTCAAGTCATACACTGAGGTGCTTGACAGTCTCTTCAGTAGACTGGGACTGCTCAAGCGAAGCTCCACACAGGCATCATCCGTAGCATCAAATCCTCCTCGTTTCTGATATCTGTACTTAGCATTTGCTGACGTTACATCAGCGCCGGAAGCTAAGATGTGCAGTCTGAGAATTTCAGAAAGAGTGCAGCTATCAAGATCCAAGCTTTTCAAACTGCAGCCTACAGTTGTTAAAAATGAAAATAGTGACTTAGAATATAAAAAAATATGTAGCAATGTGAAATGTACCTTAATAAATTAAAAATAAAAAGCCAAACAAAAAATAAAGCCCACACATACCCTGGTGCAACTGCGGCCATGCAGCTGCCAAAGATGCAACTGCAGACAGTGCAGATTTTGTGGGGTCTGCATCTTCATCCAAAGCCTCTGTTAAATCTTTAAGGAAATAAATACTTTATTCTAGTATAAATCAAAGCTTGAAAGTTTGGGAATACTGCCCTTTTAAATGATGAAAGAAACATCAAGCAGCTTAACATTTGAGAATCTCCAAAGAACCAACACTAAGTATGATACTATTATTCACATTTTGCCTAGTCTCTACCTGCAACTGTAAACCCTAAAACATGTAATATACACTAATATTTTCCTCACAAAATATAGAAGACAGTTTCCAAATTACCCACAAGATGCATTTATATTATAAGAAATAGTAAATGCTTTTAGAATTAGAAAAAAATCTATTTTGAAATACGGACTCAAATATCTAAAGATATTTAATTCTTTATAAATATTTTAAAATTGAATTATAACAAAGTATAGATTGTAATCATCATAAAATTAGACCACAAAGAGAGAAAAGAAATCAAAGATGGCAGTGCAGTCACTTAACTATTGATTTGTATTTTTATTAAAATTTCCTATTTTATTCTGAAAATTCTCTAATCCAAGGAACAATGAGAAACCATCTCTGTATTTCCTTCCTTCCTTCCTTCCTTCCTCCCTCCCTCCCTCCTTTTCTTTCGTTCATTCGTTCAAGACAGGGTCTTGCTACGTGTTCAGGCTGGCCCTGAGCTCCCTATGTATCCCAGGCTATCCTGGAACTCTCAGCAATCCTTTTGCCTCAGCCTCCGTTCTGGAATTACAGGCCTGTGCCACCATACCTGGCTTTGTATTTTCTTAATGAATTGCTTAAACATTAAAAACAATACTTAGTTTACAATTAGGGTTAAACAGCGTATCTAGTGGGACAAATGTATTTAACACAGTAGTATGAATATTAATACTTATACAGACTGATAGGTTAAACTATGGAAATGTTAAGCATACAAGAAGACAAAAAACACTGTTATATGAGAGTGCAGTTTCTATAACCTCAGACTAAGCATTACATACAGTGTATTTGAGTTGTAGTTCTACCAGTACCTGGTTAGATACAATTTAGATAAATCATTCAATCTGGGTTTCAGTTTTCTTAAAGAAGTGAGTCTAGGTTAGGAGTTTTCAAAAATATTTACTGGAAGCCCAATAGAAGACTAAAAGGGTGTCTGTGTTAAAGTAGAGCAGGAAGATGAGAATTCTGCCATTCATCTTTCTAATTCTCCTGGATAGGTACCTAGGAATCTCTGAAAACAACTTCAAGGATGCTTTACATTTGTGTGAAAAGCACTTATACTGGCTTTGTGATTCCTTAACCTTCTACCTTACAAAGTTTACATGCTGAAAAAGTTAATCTTAGCAACTGAACTGCTGTCCTTCATGAAAAGGCAGCTCTGGCCTCACAGCTGATTATAATGATTAATGATATTTAGAAGCATAAATAAGACCACACAGAAGTTACCTAACTAAACTTAGCTTATACACCTGCCGAAGTCATGCCTACCAGGCTTAATCTAGCCGAAGTGACAGACAATATATTCATCCTCAGCACAGAAATACTACATAGACTTATAACTTTCCCAATTTTCATTTTACATATAAAACTAAACAAATAAAATCAAGTCACTATAAAATTAACAGCAGCCTATGATGAATGTAATCATTATGTATGCCTAAAATGTACCAATAAACTTAATTTTAAAAAGGAAAAAAAATTAACAACAGTCCTACATTAAGCTATAAAAGAATGTTGGCTCTCTTCTCCCTCAGTAATCACTGTGTCCAATCTATATTATCTGTAAAAAATTATTTCCTAGGACAAAAACTATATAGCCTGGAGGAAATGAACCAACAATGAAAGAACAGTTGTTTTTTGTGGCACTTGGGGATCAAAGCAATGCAAGTACCCTGCCACTGAATTATGTCTCAGCTCACCAAGACTATTTATGCTTATATGTTTATTTATTTATTTACTTATTCATTTGTCTCTTTAAGACAGTGTCTCACTATGCAGCTCAGGCTGGCCTTAGCTCACTTTGTAGCCCAGGCTGGTCTCAAACTTGCCATGATCCTTTTGCCTCGGCCTTTCGGGATAAGCATGCACTACTATGCTCAGCTCCTACCAGGACAATTTATGAGGTTTAACAAAATATTACAGTGAATATTTATTTTTAAAAAGTATTGCAGTAAAAGACACATAGCCATTAGTCCCCTGAAATCACCTCCCCTTTATCTGAACACTTATTCCACCATTCTTGTCATGGCTACCTTCATGTCCTGAACTGACTGAAAACATTCATTTCTCATGGCCATTTTGACTTTGGGGAAGAGCTGGAAGTCTCATGGTGCCAGATCCAGTAAATAAGATGGATGGAGAAACACCAGGACGTTTTCATGAGCCTGCCTTTCCATTGGATGGCACTCAGTAGCAGCATTTGCTGTATTTTAAAAGTAATGCTTCAGGGCCAGGGAGATAGCTCAGTAGAATAAGCGCTTCCCTAACAAGCTCAAGGGCCTGAGTTAAATTCCTGGTTCCACCAAAAAATAAAAAATAAAAATAAAAAATCATAAACACATGAACTGCTTCAGAAAGTGGCAAGCAAGACAGGATATATGTTCAAATTGTGTATGCAGGGGGGAGCTGGGCATGGTAGCTCATGCCTGTAATCCCAGCACTTGGGAGGCTGAGGTAGGAGGACTGCTGGAAGTTCTAGGCCCGCTTGAGCTACATAGTGAGTTCAGCACTAGCCTGAACTACACAGCAAGACCTTATCTCAAAAAAACAAACCAAAACACCAAAGTGAGTGATGTGGTAGGGGATGTCTTTTGAAACAGATTAATGGCAATGTCTATTACTGTAATTTTTAAAAAATTTGAATATTCACCATGCATATTGATCACATTTTATATTTTATATTAAGTAAAGCAATACATGTATTCTTTATTTATTTGGTACAGGGTCTTGCTACCCAGCTCTTGGACTCGTAGTGATCCTGTCTCAGTCTCCCCAATGCTGGGTTTAAAGGCATGGGCCACCACACCTGGCTTGACACACATATTCTTTAAATGAAGTATTTACCATGTGGCACTTTTGAGAAACTGTATGACTCTAGGATTTGCTTACAGTCATCTGAGACTTCACACCAAGTGACTGCAGCTGAACTGTATTCAGTATGTTCTGATTATCTGAAACTGATACATTTATTACCATCTTAATCTAGAATTAGATACAATTTTAACACTAAATGATATCCCAGCAAACACACTAAACTATTCCACATGATGAGGTTGCTCTTTGTTTCTGTACTTTTTATTTTTTTTGTGGAGCTGTAATTGAACCTGTGCATGGTACCACTCGTTCTACCCTCCACCACTGTGCTACACCTGTAGGCCTTCTCCCCTCCCTTCTTGTTCCCTTAACTGGAAGTGTTTTAAGAACTATCTTAGGGGCTGGGGAGATGGCTCAGTAGAATAAGAGCTTGCCTGTCAAGCGCAAGGGCCTGAATTCAATCCCTGGTTCTGCCAAACAAACAAACAAACAACAAAAAAAAACTTATTTCTAAAAAACTGTCCCTTTCGTTATTATTTAGGCTATGTTGAAAATGAAATTAATTTTTTAAATGTTTAAAGAACTATTTTTAATGTAAATTGCTAGTCAAAATTTCTAAGATTTGATACAAACACAGGGCAAACAGCCACAGGGTTAAGATTTTTTTTTTTGGTAGTACCAGGGACCAAACTTGGGACCTTGCACTTGCCAGGCAGGTGTGTCAGCCTATGAGCTATCTCCCTGGCCCTAGGAGTTCAATCTTGGAGACAGATAATTTTACAGGCAATGCTAGAGAAACACATATTCAAAATTTTACCTTTGTTGCCATATCGAGGCAATGAAATGGTGTGGGAGATCGAATTGCCTGTGTTTATATCCTGGTGCCTGCTGATTAGCCATGCTGCTTTAAACTACATGTTTTTTATGTAAGAAGCAGAAAATAATTATAACTATCTCACAAAGGTCGTATGACAGCTAATGACACAAGTCTTTTTATCACTTACTAGCTATGTGATCTTAGTACATGACCTCCTTGAACCTGAGTTTTCCCATCACTAAGACAAACTCATTATTTTCTCTTCTGTCCATCTTCTCCTTTACATACAAACTGCCTGAAGCACCTTATTAGTAAAACCACTATAGAGGCAGGCAGTAAGAGAAAATTCAATCCCATTGGATTATTCAACTCTCTGGGACACTGTGGAAAAACTTTGGCCCTGAGATGAGCAAACAAGGGTGAGGAAGAATGAAGTTAGTCTGGGGGAACAGTTCAAATGTACTGAAACTGAGGTAACCATGGAAAATGTGATCAGTAATAGTAAAGAGGTGAATGATGGGTGAAAAATATCAAACTAAGTATTTTCTTCCCAATGTTTAAATAAATATTTTCAAGTGGAACAGGGAAACCTTTATTTATTGGTCAACATTTATTCAAATAGACCTTATATCTGCTTATATGTATAGACCGCTCTGTGTGAGAGTAAAGCTTAAAAATTAGAGCCAATGAACCATGAATATGAAATAAAATGACAAAACAAACCCAACAATCTCATATATTTTCCCCTTTATATTGATTTTTCAACACTTTTACTTTTTTGCCATCAGGACTTCCAAAACTACAAAATGTATCTGTTTTAATAATGAATTAGGGCCAGGGATATAGCTCATGGGTGCAGTGCCTGCCTGGTAAGCGTGAGGTCTTTTTTTTTTTTTTTTTTTTGTGGTACCGGGGATTGAACTCAGAACCTTGCACTTGCTATCTCCCCAGCCCCAAAGTGTGAGGTCTTGAGTTCGATTCCTAACACCAAAACAAAACAACACAAATAAAGAATGAATTAAGTATAGCATAACGTCTTGAATTAAGGTTAGAACATGGCCAAAAACTCTGTAATGTTACTGGATGTTAGTATAACCTAATGAGTAAAGGAACAAATACTTTATAGTCTGCTTGAATCAGCTAAGATTAAAAAGCAGCCAGCATCAGATGCACACCCATCAGGGTCCTGCTGCATCAGGCCCTGGACATGAAGGCAGATGAGCTCCAGTTGTCTAAGGTAAACAGAACTATCTGAACACAGATTGAGAGGACTTTTTTTTTTTTTTGGTGGAACTGGGGATTGAACTCAGGCCCTTGCACTTGCCAGGCAAATGCTTATTCTACTGAGTTATCTCCCCGGCCCCTAAGAGAACTTTTTTTAAGTCCCTAATTTTAGGATGAACTATAATGCAGCCTTCATAAGTAGAATACTTGCCTAAGGTTACGCCCTCAGGAAACTCATCTTGAAGATCAAAAAGTTCCCCGAATGCATTGAGGAACTCCAAAACCATCAGAGCATCACCAAAGATTTCAGGAGGTAGTCTAGTTTTCACTGGAGTTGGTTCTGGAAGTTCCTGTAAAATTAAATTATTTATATAACTATTTGAACTAAGTATAGGAAATTTAAACCAGTGAGTAGGCATATTCTTTACCTAGTAAGAACTATCCCATGTAGCTTAATGGTTTCAGCTCCAAAAGTTTTTTTTTTTTTTGATTTAAAGCCCCAGGACATTTATTTATACTGATGCCCTTGACTCATTGCTAAGAAATACAGGTGAACTGTTTCAGTTTTCTTTTTTTTTCCCCCCATAATTTTATTGATAAACAAATAGCAATGAGACAGTTTCAAATCAAATTGGTAGGACAGTTTCAATAATTAACACATTGCATACTCTCTTCCTAGTGGTTAATTGCTGTACAAGATGCGGACTTGTGATCCTATTTACAAACACCATTAGAACAAATCATTCTATTCATTAAGACAATGCAACTATATATCTACCCCAACCACTTTGAATACACAGATATAGAATGGACATTCATCGGTGTACCCCATTTTTCCTAAGTTCCGTTATTGAATATTATAGGTGTGTAAACTCAGCAAAATATTCTAAAAGAGTCCAGTAGCCCATAATAGCATTGGGTCTTCTGTTTAACTGGCAATGTCAGAAATTATTGACCTGAGTCCCCCACAGCTTAACTTAACAGCATGGCTTTATTTCTTATATTTCGTCTTCATCCTTTTCTACTGGATGGTTAAGACCAAGGTAAAGCAGGACCTGTGCAACAAGAGTTGTAGCTTTTTGGTCTGAGAAGGTCAATGAAATGCCCTCAGGATTTGTCCTGAGATCCTGTACCTCAGAATGTAGAACCTTTATCAGTGCAGCCATGTGGATGAGTCACGGCCATTGCTTGGCCAATGTGCTCTCTGGGAAAGCCTGAGAGAGTGTCTTCTCCCCATGTGACTCTCCTTAGGCACACTCTACGTCATCGATCACTTTCCTCTTTGGCCCCATAATCTTCTTGATCAGAAAATTTCGGACACTACCAAGGTACATGATGTTACAGTACAAGTTCTCATATGTCCTGAGTCTTAATTGACCTTACAAGGCTAGGGCCAAAAAGTTGGCTTTCCTTGTAGCCCTCCTTTTTCTCTAATTTTGGTCTGCAAACTTAGGTTGTTACCCATCCAGAAGAAAAGCTTATTGTTATTATCAAATGATTTAGACTATCAATCTTAACCTCACTATCTCACTGCATTTCAAACATCTTAGGCATAATAAGGAACAGGTATTTTTCATCAAGTATTGATATGTTGAACTTTAAGTCCCTACATAATATGATAAAAAACATTTAAAAATTAGATTATATTTTAAAAAATAGGATAAAGAATTCTATGCTTCTCATGTTTGCACATAAGTCCTAAAATCTCATCATATACAACCTTGAAGCAGGACAGTCCCACAATATTCCTTTTCCTGTCTCTTGCTTTCATTCACCACCCCCTTCTTCTTGAACATCTACCTACCCAAGAGACATCTTAGCAGTAACTGGCATGTCATGACAAGCCGCCCATATTCAGAATACCACAATGATAGGCACTCCCAACATGAAACAACTATTACAAATTACCATCTTAGCAGAATATTTTAGAACTACAGATATGAACCAATGAAATCTGCAAAATTCCTATGCAAGAATAATTGGGGGACTGTCTTCAAAGGTGTCAGAAGCAGGTCACATTAAAATAAAGGTTTTATGATGATAATGTATATGATTTAGCATCAGATAACATGAATAGTTACATTTTATAACTATAAAATCCAATAAAATTTTAAAATAATTGTAGAAATTATTTGTACTACAAAACTATTGTGGCCCAGTCAGCAATAATGTTCAACTCTCTGACCTTTGGTGTCAGCATCTGTTATTTGCTCTTTGGCTACTTCCTCTTCTTCTTCTGCTATCGCCTGGAAGATTGCAGTCAGGAAGAAAAAAAGCAATTCACATAGTGGGCCTTCACTGTCATTTCCTACAAGAGCTTCCTCTAACACTTCTGTGAATAAAATATTTAAAATACATTTAAAATTCTGTTCATGACTGAGAAAACAACTCCAATAGAATAATACACATTTAACCAACAATAGAAAGCACAGCTAAGTATTTATTCAAGCCAAAATTATTAAAATTCATGATTTTACAATAAAATCATAGATCACTGCATTCAACAAAACTAAAAGAATCTCAGTAGATCAATGTATTTCATCTAAATTCTTTTAACAATGTAAAGATGTTATTATTGTCTATTTAGGTTTCTTTTTTTGTTTGTTTTGAAACAAGGTCTCACTACATATGTAGCTCTGGCTGGCCTCAAACTCATTATGTAGCTCAGGCTGGTCTCAAACTCATAACCATCCATCCTCCCGCTTCAGCCTCCTGAGTGCTGGGATTGCAGGAGTGGACCATGTTGTGCATGGATCTTAAAGAAGTTTGGTTATTTGACAGCTAAACCTTCAAAATTTGACCCAATTCCTCCTCAAATTAAACTTTATAAAGTAAAATTTTGTAAGTACATAGGTATGCAAAATACAAATGTCAATCAAGTAGGCATCGCTGTCTGTAAACATGCACATGCTCCCCCCCTTCTCGGCCTGCCTCAGCTCAGGATGGCCTGGAAGTGCTCTGACCAATGGGCTGTGGCAGAAGGAAGGCTGTGCAGTTCCAGGCTTGCCTTTCAGAGGGCAACTCTCCCTGCTTCTGGACTCCTGGAGCCCTGAGCTGCCTCATGAGAAGTGTAGTCAAAGCAGAGGCCACGTGAGAGGAATGAGGCACAAGACACGCGCGTGGGGAGGTCACTGTGAACATCCCGCTAGTCAAGCCCCTAAATGGCTGTAGTTCCAGCCACTGTCTGAGCCACACGAGACTCCAAGAGAGAATGACCAGCTAAGTCCAAAATCTTAAAGAACTCTGACAGGACTTTTCTTCTTTTT